TACCTGACCACAAGAAGGAATCGTTTTTGTTCATTTCAGTCAAACAGGCCCCTAGAAGAGCAAACAAACCTTTGGCATTGCATCCACAGTTGCTGCCCAGATGTCATGAGCCAGTCATAAATTGATTCCTGTACCAAGGAAGATCTATTCCGAATCATTTCAAAGTACACTTAAGCACAGCCGGAATTTCCCTAACTGTGCTTCAAAGAAGTTTGCAAGCTTCTCTTGGGGTCACTATTTGGCAACTTAGTCAAATGGTTTGATATCTGCATGCTGAAATTTTTGTCTCAGAGAATTAAATGGTATTGCTTATTGTTTATGTATCTGGTGGTCTTTTATGAAACTTCTTGCAGGAGATAGAGGGTAGGATTGAGGCAGGAGACACACACCTTAACTAATTCTAAAATGAGGGGGACTTAATTTATTTTGTGGCTTGGTCTGAGCACTTACTGTCTGGTAAGCCTTGGAATACAAATTAAACACCTCAAGACCACTGAGCAGACCAACTGGCTTTTGCAGGAATATGCTAGACCCAAGATGTGCTAAGACAGACATACATTTAAGGTTCTTCTTATCACCTGTGCTTTTCAACAGTACCCCAGAAAAACACAGGAAGAGTCAAGGTGATGAAACACTGAGGTGAGAGAGGAGGCTGAGAGTCATTCACTGATTTGGGGACTTCACTTCCTTGTTTTATGAGAGAATGGGATTGACAATTCCAGGGAATTGCACCAAGTTGTTTTGTTTTGGCAGATAGTAAATGAACAGTATATTATAGCACACATACTAATTTCAATGCATAACAGAGGACTGGGATAATGCTATGCTCAGAATGAGAAAGAACTCTTATTCTTACAAGAAGAACTGGGCCTTCTAACATTAGGTTGGATTCATGTAAGAATACTGACCTCCACATTGCCAGGCTCCTCTTCTAAGTGCATTGCCTACATCCTTCTCTGCACAGAGTCAATCCATTCCAGATCATCCAGCTCTGAGCACATGCAGTCACTAGTGTTTCAGGGTTGAGTCAAAGGCACATTTCCTGGTCCATTTTCACCTTTTCTAAATCTGTCTCTTACTCAAAGAAATTCGTCAAAGTTTCGATTCCTTGTGAGTGGGTTGAGAATGGTAGCTTCCCTAGGATGTATGAGAACATGGTGTAGAGACCATGTACCTAAAGCCATATGAATGGAAGTATTTTAACTAAGTCAAGTCAAGAGAATTCTTTCTAATGATAGAATTTTGTCTTTATAAAGAAGCCCTTTCTTTGGGAATACCCAAAGAGCTCTTTCATGCAGGGTTTTCAAGTGGTTGGACATGATGTGCAGAATTGTTGTGATATTCACATAAGCACATTTTCTTCTCTAGAGAGTGCTTCCAAAAGAGTCTCTTATTTTTGAGTCCTCAAACTCACAAGACAACCAGCTTTTTTTGGAATGGGACCATTGTAAGCCACACTCAGATGATCATTTCTAGGTTTTGAGAGATCACACGTACTTTTATACTCCAAGCTTGGGGAACACTGATGCTTGAGGCAGTCTCCTGTGTCTTCAAGCTTCAGTTGTATAAAGTCTTACTCCCTTGACTAACAATAAGATAACATGGCATCTGGAAATATGAGCCTTTGGGCTAGGGCACAAATGGGAGATCAAACCAAAAAGGAGCACCAACCCCAACGAAGACTGCAGAGTGCAATCTCCCCTATTCTTCAGTGGTAAACACAGGAACTGTGGGATTCAGCGGAAGAGGGGTGCCACTTGAGGCCATATGATGACTTATAAAGAGGATAAAAAAGACAGTACCATAAGGGAGGAATCCTGCATTAGCGAGCAGTCCTTTTGGCTGGACTTGTGGTTGGTACCAGAAAAGGATAGCAGATTTGTGTTTACATGACCCTTCAGGGCCATGTTCTCGATTACTGGGTGTGGGAAAGAAGAACAGTGCTGCATCTGACTCAAGGGAGAGCTCTTCGGGTTATTTTCAACAGAACAATGATATAACCAAAGTCAGACTCCAGAGGGTACAATGGAGGAGTTGCAAGGCTGATTGAGGTTGGGAAGTCAGTTAATGTTTGAAAACTGTTAACTTTCAAAGATGATGAGAGGGTGAAGGCAAGGCCCAGTGTTCAGGCATGTGTGATTTGACAGATCCAGGAGCTGAGGAAGAGAGGGTGTTTATTCAACAGGGAAAGCCTAGATTTGGGCTCAGGGAGATGGCAGGGATCCTTTCATAAGCATAAGTATGGCAACTAGAGGAAGACTGACTTCACAAGTGGAGTTCAGTCCTACCTTGTGGAATTTAAGGAACTTTTGAGATATCACAGCAATTGTGAGATTCAGGGGAGCAAGTTAAAGACAGGAGAGGGACCTGGGATGATTCTGCCTGGAATTGGCACAGAAAACCTGGTGATTTGTCAGTGTTCAATGCAAGAAAAGCGATTCATGACAACTGAGGAAGAGATCTAATAAGGACAGCGGGGACTGATGAGGGTTGACAGAGACACAAGGCTGCAGGCAAGCTGGTTATGGCTTTCACAGAAGCCACTCACTAATAACAGTGTGAGAATGGGTTTAGCGTGTAACCTAGGGACAGGCAGGAAGAGGACTCCAAACTAATGCTGGAATTGCAGTTCACTTAGGATCTAAGCTAATGAATTTTAGGCCATGGTGGCCAGAGACTACAAGGTTTAAAGAAGCCATAGAAAGCTGAGTTAACTGTCTCAGTCCTGGAATCCAAACATTCGGGAGGGTGAAGCTGCTATGTGATAACTTTGGCACCAGCCTATGCTAAGCAGGAAGGCCATGTCTCGAGAACAAATAATCATCTAATGAAATTATGGCTATTGTAGAGTCTCTCGGGACTGCCATCTGTGTTGACAGAATCCTGAGATGTGCTGGAACTGGGAAATGGTTTGACCATGGTTTTGTCTAGCTGTTTTTTTTTCTTTTTATTCTTGATTCTACTTTTTTCTTTGACTTCCTTTAGTTTTACAAATGCTTGATATTCCAAAATATCTTACTTGTAAGTGTACACTCATGGACAATGTAGTTTAATGACTCATTGAAGAAACATCTATGTGCACACACTACTTAGAGAAGAAAACAGGAGCTTTCCAGAAGCCTGGTCCAGCTTTCCAACTTCCTTCCTCTGAGACTGGTCCACTCTTGCTCCATCCATCTTTCCCTTGATTCCTCTAGAGTTATCCCCTAAGTGCACCCCCTTCCATGCTATGATGATTCTTCAATACTTCAGCACTGCTTGTGTCTTGAAATGCTATTTTTATACATTGACTTTTACATCTGGCTTATGTGCCTTAACATCTGCAATGTTCATGCCCACTCTGGCATGCAGTTTTCTGAGGTGTGTTTACAGCTGGTGAGCCAGTTATGCAGGCACGGGACAGAAAGAAAGAGGGGTAAGGTAATGTGACAGCAGTACATACAGACGCATATTAGAAAGGCAGAGGGGAGTCCTCTTCACATAGTGAGAAATCACACAGGTCCAGAAGCAGGATTGAAGGCAGGATTGAACCCAGGGAGATTGTAGAACTGATGTTTGAAGTAGTCCTGGGAACTCTTGGTGAAAGTGGAATCAGAGTATACTGTTGGCATGAGGAAAGCAGAGATTGGTTAGAAGCTGAAGGACAAAGCTTGAAATGTTTACTACTTAGACATCAGGTATAACTGGACATGGATAAATAAAGGGACCTTGTCCTTGGTGAGGTACCAGCTAAGAGGTACTTGAGAGAAACTCAGATAATTTGGTCTTTATGAATCAAGAGGACAAAAACAATCAACCCCCCTTCCCTGTCCACCTAGCAGACCAGGATTTTCCAGGCGTGATTTCAGGAATTACAGTGCAGGGCACTTGGTGAAGTTTCTTGGGACTGCCTTCCTTGGGGCATGTCTGCTTGACTATGAGTCCGATTTTTCTCATTTCAGAATTGGAATGCTCACACTGACAACTCTTCAACAACTATTAGATTAAAGGAAATATCATTCTTCCCTTGAATATGATTGCATTTCTATAAATAGGACTTATCTCTGCTTTGTGTATGTATCTATGGACAAGGAATTGAGGCCATATGCCCAGCGAGAACATAGAGCTAGTAAGGTTTATCATCCCTTCTGACACTCATGGAAACTCGGCTTCATCACTCACCTTCTTGGAAATCCATAATAACCACGCATCTAGGAAGCAGTGGGCAGCACAAATTAAGTTTCTCATATTTGCAACGTGATCATTTATTGTTTTTGAGGATGCTGATCATCCTGTCCCTTTTTACCTGATATCTGGGGATACAAATACTATGTACTTTACAGACTGTTGAGAGGATTAAGAAAAAGGAACTGGGGCAAACTCAGGTGCATAGTGTGTCCTCAGTATACTGAATGGCCTGGATTCCATCCCCAATAATATGGGGGAAAGAAGTAACCAACAAAGAATGTAATCCATTAGCTTATTCGAGGCTTATTCCATGTCAATTTGTCCTTCATCACTGTCACTCACTAAGTTTCTCTTGGTGATCTGAATGTCAAAGAAAAAATTAGGCAGAGGTTTTTATCCTGGTAGTTTGCTCCCAAATAACCACATAGAGACTTACTATTAATTTTGATTGTTTGACCAATAGCTTAGGCTTGTTACTCACTTGCTCTTTCAATTTAAGTTAACCCATAATTTTTATCTATGCTCTACTCCATGACGGTACCTTTTTTCCACATGGCATATTCATTTTCTGCATCCTAGGCATCTGACTGTCCACTCTGTGTGACTCCATATTTCTTCTTCCCAGCATCCTCTCAGTCTGACTCTTCTTCATACCCTCTTTCAGCCTAGCTATTGGCCAGTCAGTCCTTTATTAACACCGAGAGAAATACATATTCAGAGTGTACAAAAGAATTATTATGACTTTCAACAGAGAAAGTCATGCAAGATAGGAAAATTAAGTGTATTTCACTCTGGGGTTTTACCTAGAGAATAGAGTTCTCACTTACCAAGGGGAGTGGTTCCTTTTACAAGGTTGCATCCAAGAAAACATGGTGGTGGCCATATCAAAGGTGCAGCAGATGACAATTGACATCAGGGTGTCTGCCAACCAGGAGGAGAATTCCTGATGGGTGAATCTCAGATAGGCATGTTCCAAGAACAGAGACTCCAGAATGTCATTTTCTTCTGCTGTGTAGCATGTTTATCTCATGAAAACATCCCATTCTACCAGGAAAATTTCCTGTAGATTATTATGAAGATAATTTCTTCTTAGACTGTACTGTCTTATTGATAATAACAATATTAGTTTAAATAGAGTTTTGATGGTTAAAATATGCAAACAATTGTCACATAGCTAGGGCATTTTATGCTGCATAGTTTTCACTTTAATTTAATGACTAAGGAAAACAGTTGAGTCCCTAGAAGTCAGACTTGCTCAAATTATTTTAATCTTAATGTTGAGAAAATGCATTCACAGATTCTGTGTTCATCATAGCTGAAACAAAGCCTTAAAATTAAACTTCAGGTTAGATTAGATGTGTTGATAACAGCGTTCATGTGAAAAACCTTAGGAAACAATCTAAAGTCCGCAAGGAAACATGGATGAGCTCCAGCTGCTCGGTTGGTCACTCTGCCGGCTTTCCCTCATTGTTACCACTTGGGGGAGCTCTCGAGCACTTTCTCAGCGTGCTCTAACAATGCTGCAGGAATCAAGGCACAAGGCCAGTTCTCCTGCCCTTATGCCCTCAGGTCCAGCTCACTGGCGCTCAAAAAAACAAGAATAGCTCTACCGTTTTGACCAAGCAAGGTACAGGGCTCACTCTACCAATTGCTGATTGCTTAGTTGGTGAGAGTCAGGGCATTCTCTACTGTTCTGTACCCACGGCCTGCTCTCCTACCTGCCAAAGGTGCCAAGGGATGTAAGGGGAGGCATATATAATTAAAGCTCATTTGTCATCAAAATAAAACATTAAACCATAAGTGCAGTCTGTACATAGTGAGACAGGAATCTTTTCTGATCCTTTTTATAGTACACTATTGCAGAATATTACAGTTTCTTTATGAATCAGTTTATCCAAATAGCTAAACTATTTGAGCAAAGACAGATAGGCTAGACATCTGTCATTAAGTCAGTCACTGCTAACTAGGTAGACCTCAGACATTTGTAAATATTTATTAAGTATATGTGTCCCTATTTAAATTTGGATGCCGGGTGTTGAACATAGTAGTGAGGTGTCAGTTTTTGTTCACCTAATTATATCCTTAGGAATTTACGACCATACAAATAAAAATCTATCCTAATACAAATATTTTAGAGACTTGCTGTTGCTTCTTTACCAGGTGGTCATCATATTATGGTGTTGGAGTCACATGACAGGTACCCTTTAACCTTAGTAAGGATAACCGCCAACCATGTAGTTGCTATTGAGCGTATCTATCTTCAGTGCTTGTATTTTAAACAAGAGTTGAATCCTAGTTAAATAAACAGTGTACTTGTAAACAAGAGTTTATATCTTATAACAACTTAAGATACCCTGTGTATAGATTTTAACTATAGATTTTATTTACAGTTTCTCAATATTTTTTTCAGCAGGTTATTTTTATTACTTTATAAATAATACCAATCAAAATTTCCACTTCCTCCCCTCCTCCCACTCTCCCACCACTCCCTCCCCAAACAACCTCTTCCCCGCCGCCGTCTCCAGTCCTAAGAGAGGGCAGGGTACCCTGCCCTGTGGCAAGTCCAAGGCCCTCCATCTCCATCCAGGCTTAGGAAGGTGAGCATCCAAACAGAATAGGATCCCAAAAAGCCAGTACATGCAGTAGAGACAAATCCCAGTGCCATTATCATTGCCCCCTCAGTCTGCCCCAATTGTCAGCCATACTGGGAGGGTCCAGTTAGATCCCATGCTCATTCAGTCCCAGTCCAGCTGGAGTTGGTGAGCTCTCATAGCTCAGGCACACTGTCTCAGTGGGTGGACCAACACCTTGTGGTCCTGACTTCCTTGCTCATATTCTCCCTCCTTCTGCTCTTCAACTGGACCTTGAGAGGTCAGTCTAATGTTTTCATGTGGGTCTCTGTCTCTGTCTCCATCTATTGCCAGAGGGAGGTTCTATGGTGATATTCAAGATAGTCATCAGTCTGACTATGGGACAAGGCCAATTCAGGCATCCTCTCTTCCACTGCCCAGGGTCCTAGCTGGGGTCATCCTTGTGGACTCCTGGGAACCCCTCCAGGGGCAAGCTTCTGGCCAACCACAAAATGACTTCCTCAATAAAGATATCTGCTTCCCTGCTCCCAAATCCATCTTTCCTCCATCTCAAACATCCCACTCCCTCATGCTCTCCCCAACTCTTCCCTTCTCCCTTCTCTCTCCCCCTCTCCCCTTTCCGGCACTCACCCCCACCCCCATGCTCCGAACTTTTGCCTGGCGATTTTGTCTGCTTCCAATTTCCAGGAGGATCTATATATGTTTTTCTTTGAGTTCACCTTATTACTTAGCTTCTCTAGGATCATGAACTATAGGCTCAATGTCCTTTGTTTATGGCTAGAATCCACTTATGAGTGAGTACATACCATATTCATCTTTTTGGGTCTGCGTTATCTCACTCAGGATAGTGTTTTCTACTTCCATCCATTTGAATGCAAAATTCAAGATGTCATTTTTTTTACTGCTGAGTAGTACTCTAATGTGTAGATGTGCCACACTTTCTTTATCCAACTTCCGTTGAGGCACATCTAGGTTGTTTCCAGGTTCTGGCTATTACAAATAATGCTGCTAATTTAAAAATGGGGTACTGGACTGAACAGAGAATTCTCAAAAGAAGAAGTTCAAATGGCCAAAAGATATTTAAGGACATGTTTAACTTCCTTAGTTATCAGGGAAATGCAAATCAAAACAACTTTGAGATACCATCTTACACCTGCCAGAATGGCTAAAATCAAAACCACCAATGATAGCCTATGCTGGAGAGGATGTGGAGTCAGGGGAATACTCAACCATTGCTGATGGGAATGCAAACTTGTGCAACCACTTTGGAGATCAGTGTGGCAGTTTCTTAGAAAATTGGGAGTCAACCTACCTCAGGATCCAGCAATACCACTCTTGGGAATATACCCAAGAGATACCCAATCATACTACAAAACCATTTGTTTCACTATAGATTTTTAACTTATGTTCTATTTTAAGCTAAATTTCATTACAAATTTTTTAACCAAATCCACTGAACCAAATTCGAGACAGAGTTTATGGCGCAGTCTTAAGGGATATTCTGATACAATAGCAATTATAGAGATAAAAGAGTTTTAAGAGTGAGAAGTAGAGAATTTTGGAAATGTAAAGAAGATAAAATTTAGATATAGGAGATTTAGGCATCATTTGTTTGTGTAGTGGCATAAGTTGTTATCACTGAGAGTATTTGAAAAATTGATCAAATTGATTTTTTTGCCTTGGATCTGTATTAAGTCCAAGCTGTTCATCCAACCCAAATTTCACTTACCTTTCAAAGTAGCTTTCTTCCCTGTTGTCTCTTCAAGTATTAGTTCTTCCTTCTCTTGATAAATTTGCAAAGTCAACCAGTGAACATGATTTTCTTTCCTAAAACATTGAAGAGGGCATAGATGTCAGGGACAACCTAAGGCTTCCTAATGAAGCCCACTTCATAGCTGTATATAAAAATATGTCACACATTGACTAATGATTGGTGGACATATTCAAAGCCTATGTGGTGAGTATCAGAACCCATGATAAAGCAGAATTCTGGAGGGCTGAGCTCTGCTCACTACATTTCCTTAGTCACTGGTGTGAGATGCTGACCATAGACAAGGTGCTCACCACAGCAGGTATGTGAATGTTCTGTCCTCAGTGGGCAAGGGAGAATGATCACAGAGGACTAATAAGTTATGGCAGACGTTTTACCACCAGTTGCCTCCCAGATTCAAATTAACAAAACACAGCATCACTATACATCATGGAAATACAAACCTTCGCTTGTATTCTTCCTTGATTTGATGTACATTATGTGCAAAATAAGGCATTTGAATCACTACAGTTCGGAAAGAACAAATCTCTCCTATAATTCTTTGCATTCTAATTGTCAATATTTATATTGTAGTGCATGAGATAAGGCATTTTTGTGTTAAGTAGTATCTGTGTCTCATTTTTCTGAAGACCATGCTAAGCAGTAAATACCACCACAAACTTCACTGAAGGAAATGTTGCAAAGGTTGGAATTCTCCTCTAAGGATCTGAGGTAGTGATGTGCAAATGTATCTTGGTGAAGCTCCAATGAAATTCTGAATATAAATGTTTCATTATACCTAATACAAAGCTTGTCTTCATATACCCCAATTAATATCCATGTGTCTTGTGTGAGTAGAATATAAATGGTCTTCTAGAACTAATGTTAGAACTTGAAATCTAGGACCAAGATACATGGAAAAAGATAGATTAAAAGCTATGACTTAAAGAAAATAAGTTTAAACTACATGGAGAACTATACAAAATTAATATTGTCAATTTTTTGGTAAGAATGGCTTTTAAATCTCTCAATCATCTGTTGAACCTCAGCTGTATAATCCAATAGAACTCTCTGTAGAGAAAAATATCCATTTCAATTTTATATATCTTATTTATAGGAACATAACTTTTTAAAAAAATTTTTGTTTTACCAGGGAAACTGTAACTATGTTTAATAAAAGCAATTTCCTTTGCAGTGTTATTTTCTCCATTTCTTTCAATGATACTAGACACATATTTCTGATAATGAAATTGTTAACTTTTGATTCATTTTGATTTAGAAGAGTTTCTCTTTCTCTTCAATCTGAAAAAATGCTTACACACTCACATTATATACACAGCTGATTACCACCTAATAATTAGTACTACCTAGAAAGTTAAATATGCGGTGATTCTTATGGAAGCATTATATATAACATCTATATACTCCTGTATGGTACAATATGCCCAACAGCAAATACATATTTATATGACATATGTATTCAGTCACAAACTGCTTCTAGAGATACAGTAAATGAATTACTATGAAGTTAAACCAGATACAAGTGAAATTTTCAATCTAAAGACAGGATCAGAACAAGATCCACAAGGCTGGTGCTCCTATGACCCTCACACAACTATTACAATAAATGTTGTAACTGAAGAATGACCATAAGTTAATAATGTAATATATAATACAAGAACACATGAATAGCAAATTGAAGATGTACAAAGTCCTTATGCTTACAGATAAGTGCTAGGACCCCCAGGAATAGTAAATTCACAGAGTTGCCTTCTCAGTAGAGAGATATATATCCATTTTCCAAGAAGAAACCTAGGAGTGGATTTTGTTTACAGCCTGGTAATCTGTGCTGCTATCTGAATGGTCAGGACAAACCCAAATCCCCCAGACTACTATCTTTATCCAAAACTCTTCCTCCCTAGACCTTTGGCCTTAGCTGTTTCTCAATCAGCAGGGCACATCCTTAGGGAAAAAGTCACGTGTACTTTGTAGTTTGATGACCTAAACAAGAACAAGACTACACATGATCATCCCTAGGACTTTAGCTATTAAACACATTCTTATGGAAGAAGTCACGTGTACTTTTCAAAGAGTTTTGATGTTGTCATTTCATAAGCTTTATAGTGCACATCAGATTGAGATACTTGTTACCAGGGAACATTTCTTCCAAAATTGTATCATACTTAAATGCCAAAATTTAAACTGCCCAGGGTCAACTCTAGAATTTTATGCTAATACCAGCTCCTGAGATGTGTTGAATAGGATTTTCTTCTTGCCTCATATGGATCATTACCATAAAGACACTGGTGTTTAGTAGTCACTAAAGAAAGTAACATTGTTGCTTCTTGATATTGCCAAGTACTGTGTATTATACTTAACCATGGGTCATAATGTTTGAACCACAGCAGATCTGCACACATACCAAACATGACCACAACCTTAAGCAGTAATTCTTCTCCATCAGTACTGCAAAGACATTAGTCAACTGTTTTCAGTTCCATTATCCTCTAATGGGACTCCCATGATAAATGCTGTGGTTGACCGAAATCCCTGCTCTCTCTACTTTCCTCTATCTTTCCCCCTTTCCTTTCCTCTCTTATTATGTGCCTACACTTCAAGCATATAAAATTAATTTGAGTCACAGTGTTTTAATAGCTAATACAACTGAGTGAATGGAAACACTTAGACATGATTACAGGAGTATTATTCTGTTGGAGATGGGATGCTGCAGTGAACATCTGTGAGACCCACCTATATTCTCTGTAGATGATTGCACTGAGTAGCATGAAGTTGGCCTCCTGTTCTGTGCCAGTTTCACCTCACTGACAGTCACTCAGGGTGACTGTTAAGATTGCTTTCTCTTCTGTTGCTCCATTTCCATATCCCAAGTATGATTGTATGCATATTTTGTGTATCTTGAGAGTGTCAGAATTACAAGTGCCAAGTTTACTGTAAATTGCCTCTGTATTTAATTTTAAGTAACATTTTTTTTCAAATATTTCTTTTCATGTAGGTGTATTTCCTATTCACTATTTTGTGAATGAATGAGGTCTCAGTAAGCCTGCAGCTACCTACTTATGGGAAACTGGCACCTTAGAAGGAGTCAGAATTGAGTGTAGAGGATCCCAGTGTCTGAGCAATGCTTTCATTTTAAAAGACACCACTTAGATTCAGATGTAATTTCACAAACACATGATAGGCTAAAATACAAAATGGAAATGGGCCTTTTACAGTACCAATGAGCCAACACAGAGAACCTAAAGAGCCTGTAATAAAGCTTACAATATCCCACATCATTTTCCTTCAAGAGCACTTCCATTTTCTTCTCTGTGCTTTGAGATGGTCTTATTGTATAGTATAAGCTGGTGTCCTACTCATGACAATTCTCTTGCTTCAGCTTGTCACGTGGTTTGCATTGTAGGCATAAAATTTCATTACCATCTAACTGTCCACATATTTAATATGGATCTTAACAGGACATGTTCATAAAAACAGTAGGAGACCCGATGACAAATTAATTTTCTTGCTTTTGAAAAGTGCTGATTTCACTCACAGACACCAGCTACAGGCAGAATACCACAGCTGGGCTTTATTCTGTGAAATTTTTATAATACAGTTCCTATTCCTATGATTATCCAATGATGAATTCTTTTAATCTTAGCAGCAATGTGGAGTTGATGTTCTTATTTTAGATAACATCACTCTCAATATATTTTTTGGTAGGATGGAACCACACTGTTTCTTAATGACAAGTGTCAACTCTGGTTCCAGAAAACACAGTCATTGCATGTACCACCTTAACTACAGGGTCAGAGCCTGGGGAGGGTACAGTTCAATACTCCCCTCTTTTCTGATTTCCCACCCCTCTACTCTCACCTACACAGTTTTGCTAGTCCACAGTGTTTCAGACGGTGTGCAGATGTTAGACCATCAATCAGTATCTTTTCAGAAATTCCTCATAAAGAGCCTGTAATTAGTCATTTGCAAGAAGTCATGCCCTGCCTGTCGTTTTTAAACATGACAAGCAAATAAAGAGAAAGCAAGACTTTAAACTAGAGTTGCAGTTATTCCCCTGAGAGAAGAAGCTATAAAAGCACAAATCATGTTACTATGATGGAAACTCTCATCACGAGCACAGATACCTGTGGTCAAAGAAGATACACAGGTGACTGTGTCCTACACACAGCACAGAGAGCCTACGCGTCCCAAACTGTCCTTGCTGGCAGCTGGCACATAGTTCACAAACGGTGAGTAAAGATGTTTAATGGACAGCAACCTGGAGGTTTCTCCAGTGTGTCTGAGAACCTGAAGATGCCTCTGCCTTGCTGTGTTCCTCCTGCTTTCTTTTAGTCAGGACCCCATTCCTCTTGTAGCTTGTTGAATTTTTAGTAATTTGGAGGCTTGTCCTGGAACATTTGATAATAAGTGCCACAGCATGGACTACTTTGGATGCCAGGATGCTGCTATTGGTTGTTTTCCATAAGACTTTCTTTTTGTAGTTTAGTCTACATTTATTCTTGTAGAAATCAACCAGATTTTCAAAACATTTCAAATTCAGCTTCTTTGAAATAATCTTAGGGGACTTGAATTCCTACCCCCAGTTCTCATCATATAGTAGGGCTGTGGTGTATGGTTTCACATGTATGTATGGTCAATAGTCACTCACAGCGGGTTCTTCAGTGTTCTCTGAGTCTTACTATGAAAACTTATTTGTATATTCAGCAGAAACAAACAAAGAGTCTCTTAAGGTCTCTTTTGACAATAGGATGTTCTTAGGAATATAGTTTTCCTATATTTTTTATCTGGCTTCTTGATCAGTAGAAACAACCATTTTTAATATTTTAAAATATAATGGAGAAATAAGAGAATTATTGGAGGTATTGAATCAAATGGACTTAACAGACATATATAGAACATTCCACCCAAATAGGAAAGAATATACCTTCTTCTCTGCAGCTCATGAAACCTTCTTGAAAATTGACCACATACTCGGTAACAAAGCAAACTTCCACAGATACAAAAAAATATTAGTAACTACCTGTGTCTTGTCAGATCACCATGGATTAAATTTAGAATT